TATCACTAATCATAATTGCTCTTAACTTCAAATATATACACGATTATGTGTATTCTAAATATCAAATAAAACAATGATGATTTCTTTACAATAGCAGTACAACAAATTTATTCGCAATATTTTCCTTTGATCAGTTGATCAAAAACCTGATTATATTTACAATATATTCTAGGTCTTTGCTCTTTATTCCATTGGTTCAAAATATGATAAAAGAGGCTTATCAAAAAGTTTATATCATGTAGTCTTATATAACAAATAGAACAATGACATACAAGATGTTTCAAATCATAATCTATTTGCATTATTTATTTCAATAATTTGACCTGTGATATTCATGTATAAAGCAAAATAGTAAACATTGAATTTCATTCACTTTTATGTATAATATAGTATTAAACCGGTTAATTATTGTATACAACATTTATTTAATTTCATAGCAACATTTTATACTATTGTATTCATTGTAGTTTTTTGTCATTATTAGCCCAGTCCGTGCATAGCATTATGATGTGAAATCCCATTTCATTTCAATTATAATAGTCTTCATCTAGAAACAATATTACTATTTATATTGGTATGTTACTACCAAGATATAACAATAAAATTAGCAAAAGTATGTATAAATTAATAAAGTTCTCTTTAGTATCTTTCATGAATAGTCAATTGTTCAATACCATTATTTCTCTTCACCTCATGCAAATAAATTGAAATGGGATTTAATGTTCAACTGTTTTACTTCACAACTTACATAAATCATTTGGTGATAAAGAAACATACATTTCTAGTATTTTGTTAACATAGTGTACTATACTATGCATCATTATATAGAAGACATATGAATGAATAAACAAAAATATGGCAAAATGAACAACATGAGAATGATTGTAGAAGTATAAGAACAAAGCAATTGTTTAATATTAAAAATATTTGATTTTCTTCTATTTAGATGTTAACCCCTGTGTAAGTGTCGTTTTCCTCTGTTGTACGAAATTAATGAGAGTAAACCAAGCTCCAGAATTTTGTTTTAATTGTGTACATGTATATGTTTATTTATATTTTTCAGCAAAGATGACTAGCCCTCCGTCGAATATTAAACCACATACAATATATTCTGTGAAGATGTCATAAGAGAAAGAATCATAAATGGCCAGCAAAGTTGTCTTGTACAGAGAGAGAGAGAGAGAGAAATGGGGTTTAACGTCCACTCAACACAAACTAGGTCATTTTGGGACTAACATACGGTTTCAATTTTATTTCAATAATTCGCTTGCGCGTATGGGTCTTTAGCAGTGAGAGGAAACCGGAGTGCCCGGAGGAAACCCACGAGGTTGAGAAGACGCCTCTATCTCCATGCCACATACGCTCACACCTGGGATCAAAGCCACAGCCACAAGCCAGAGGTGACCGACCAGCTAGAGGTCGAAGCGCGGCACTCTAGGCCATCCCAACCCCCCTTTCTTGTACAGACCTGTGCATGTGTAGTCAATGTGAAAATGAAAAAAAAAACTGTTAAAGAGACCGAATTTGATGTTAATACATTTAGTGACAGTGATGATGATAATGAAGATTAACTTTGATGACATTTGATGTGCAGAGTAACTGTTTAATTTTGATTTTCAATGATTGTTTCACTTTAATAAATAATTTCACAACTGTTCATCCTGTTTTCTAACCTTTCCCTTCATTCCAGCCCAGATACACAATTATTTTTTTTAACTTATATCTACATTTATGTTTGTAATTTGACCATTAATCATATCCGAAATAGTAGTTCACAGCTACATGTACAGTTGTAAAAATACTGTAGTGGCTAATTGAAAGGGAACATGTATGTGGGTTTAGAATGTTTATCTTAGTGGAAAAAAATCATGTGGTTCAATGCTTATAAAGTGCTACTGATCTCCATTATTTCAAAAGCATATCACTCAACTACTGTCAAACATATCCCCTGGCTAGAATATGCTACAAATCGACTCTAGCATGTTCCATACAAGCGATAATTTCTGAGCAAACATCCAACAACCAACCCTAACAGGCCCTTGAGATCCAACAAACAAAATAATTATTGGGCTTGTTTGCCCACACCTGGTCTTATGATTCATACAAGACCTGATAGTCTATCAATTACAGGCATTTGACAGAAAGGGAGATAATTCTTTTTTACCGTTAATGGATTTCCACAATTCTTTATTCACCCATGACATTTGTGTTTTGAGCATTTTTATTTACATCAAAATCTGTCCAATAAACTGTTCATTGCCAAGGATGAAGGCATGAGGTGTTTTACCAACTATTTAATTTTATGTCAACTTCAGAATTGTTAGTACACAAATAGCATTTATTTGACAATTTTGACGAATTTCATCTGGCCCTAAATCAATAAATTGCAAACATTTTGCTTGGAACTCCCAGATTTTGTCTTCCTGGCATCATAAGCTTTCCAAAAATGTATTGTTTTTCTTTTATGGAAGACCGTGTAGCGGAGTTGTGTTTCTAAGCTAGCTAGAAATTTTGGCTGCAGGCCTACACCTCCCAAGCTAAATTTCCCTCATGTCATCCTGTATAGCAAAGGCATATGCCTGTCTTAATTAACCCAGTACTAAACACAATTTACTTGTTTAATTTTTCCAGCATTTTTCAGGATAGCTGATGGGATGCGGGTCAAGTTATGCCACTTGTCTATTTAATTATTTACCAGTGAAAAATCGAATTAACTTCACCAAATTTTTACTCATTATAATGATTTTTTTTTTTCTGTTCATATTATTTCTATGACATGTGACAGTGACTGTGAATATGAAAGCTTTAATATCTGCTTAGCAGATCTAGTTTTTATTAGATCTATTTTCTATTTTTATTTTTCTAATTTTGTTTTGTAAATATAGATCTTTTGTGCACAGATTATGTTTGAAATTCACCACTATAGTTATATTTCTTTATATAAAATTGTATATGTTCATTTTCGGGACGGTTAATTTGGTTTTACAAGAAGGAGGGGAATGTGGAGGAAACCACCTGTGATGACCTGATAATCGGTCACGTGACTCGCGACAACTTGACTGATCACTTTACGTCTAGACTGCTCACTGTAAGTACCTCTCGGTTGCTACTACAATATGGGCTCAAGGACACCAGACATGGAGAAGAGTGGACTGGCAAAGTGTGCTCTTCAGTGATGAGAGTCGTTTTCATCTTTATCACGCTGATCAATGTCTTGGACTGGCCAGCCATGTCTCCGGACATGGCACTGATGATAGAACATGTCTGGGATGAGATTGGACGCCGTCTGTATCGGAGACCACAGATGCACACCATTGCTGCTTTAGAAGCTGCTTTGTCCAAGAATGGAACAATTTGCCGCAGGCCTTCTTTCAAACATTGGTAAATTCCATGCCACGTCGCTGCACAGCGTGCGTAAGAGCCCGTGGAGGACACACGCGCTACTGACATCTGTGTCGTACTTTTGGTTTTGACCCCTCTGACTTTGTACCGTTGATTACAGATTAAACATCAATAAGTGTACAAATGTGTTGTTATTCAGGCGATACGTTTCAAGTCAGTAGCTTGAAGCGTATATATGGTATTAGTGTCAGTGGCCTGTGGCACGAAGTAACAGTATATTGTCGCATACATAATATATTATGTCAACGCTTGGGCGATATAATATATTATGTCAACGCTTGGAACTAGGATGGAGGTGACTAGGCATGAACAAAAAACAAGATGGCACCGATAACAATTGTAAAAGATTATATTGTTAATATTAGAAAATAGTAGGCCTATAATCAACCGTCACGTGTGAAATTAAAATTATATAAACCATTTCTGGGATACGTGTGTAAACTTTCTTTCAGCTTTCAGATAGGAACAGCTCGAGCCTAACCCTAACCCTAACCCTAACCCTGCCTGGCCCTAGCGTCAACACAATATATTATGTCGCCCAAGCGTTGACATAATATATTATGTATGCGACAATATACTGTTACTTCGTGCCACAAGCCACTGACACTAATACCATATATACGCTTCAAGCTACTGACTTGAAACGTGCAGGGTGTGTTATTGATGTGTTCCCATTTGACTATTGTTCACAATAAGAAGCAAAATAAATAAGAACAATAAGAAGCAAAATAAATAAGATATGTTTACAGGATCATTTTGTTATACGAAAAACTAAGTGATGCGTTTTCCATGCGGACCATGGCGCTCAATATATATATAAACATTGGCAACTGCCGTCAAGACTGGTTGCATTTTAAATTGCTTCATGTAGCCTATTAGTTAGCAATTTTTGGTACGATCTACGTTCTAACTTATGACGTCAATTGCCGGACGACTGGCTTTGTGAAACGTCAGTTACCAGCCGACTTGTTGCATATTTTCAATTGCTTCCATGTATTTTAATTCACACCAATATGATACAACGTTCCGTAAATATTCCCCCTTTTTTCTTGGGTTGTTTCCATTATTCTTGATTTGTTTTCATTTTGAGTGGAGCCTATATAGGCTTGCGACTGTACAGCTTTATTTGAAATGTATATGTATATTGGAGCCACAGTGGCTCAGCGAGTACAACATTGGCTTGTAAACCTGGAGTTCCTGTGTTCGATCCCTGCCATGGCGTGGACCCTCTTTGTCTGTGGTGTAGGGCGGTGGGCCTGACAAGGGAAACGTATAGTTGTTAGGAAATGACGACAAACCGAGTACACATTACTGTAAAGGTAAAGATCCCTTGGCAGTTGGAATTCGATATAAAATTAGGCCATAGCGCTGCTGACCGGGCATAATATTACTCATAGCACAGTGTGTGGCGTATACCCGTCTTCATAGCCCAATCCGGGACAGGACAGTAGGACGTTATACCAGATTGCATTCCATTGATCTATATATATATATTGTGTCCTGTCCGTGAGTTTGTCTTGTGTAATTGTGTACTATATTATATCATACAGGTAATAGTATTGTATCATTATTGAATTGTAAATAATTTTATCATACAGGTAAAAGTAAAACCAATCTGATAACAGAACAAGATAAGATAAGACTTCATATAGAAGGCCTCCAGAAAGATTGCGAACGTAGTAAACATGAAATAGAGAACCTGAAGAAACAGATACAAAGACAAGATGAAGATTGCAAACAGCTGAGGAAGGAAATCGAAAAACGAGAAACATACTTTAAACTAACCAAAGAGAAAATTGCTCTGAAAAAGACGAGAATTGAAGAGTTGCAGACATGTATTAAAACTCAAAAGGAGGCGGGTAGGTTGTGATTAATTTCAAATATATTACGTCATACTAACATACACTCATCGTTGCACTTTAAAGTTATTACGTCATATACCTACCGTCACCATAGAAATATATAAATACAGTTCTATTATCGTCACACTTTATTACGCCATACCTATCGTCACAAGTCATAACGTCATATACATATCGTCATTGAAGGCAGAACAACTATAATAAACTTTATAGTTATTCTAGTTAGATGAAAAATATTAAATATGACATATATTACAGATACAGGTGATACATCAGATGGTACTTTTTCTGGTAATATAAGTGGTACATCAGATGGTACTTTGTCTGGTAATACAAGTGATGATGATACCTCAGATGATACAGGTGATACCTCGGATGGGAAAGGTAAGTCTGATAACTTTTCATCCAGCCAACTTGGTGCAGAGAACTCATCGTACTTTGATTCAGCATTTATAAATGAAATAACTTTTCACATGGAGAAGGGTCCTGGCCTACAGTCCCTATAAAGACCATACGAGTGTAGAGTAGAGCAACTCATGCATCTTTTGTCCCTATTTAGTATACAATTTCTATGAATTTCACAAATAATAAACTTTGTGAATTGGTAAACAAAATATATTTTTTATTCGTTATACATTGTTAGAAAATAATCAAACGTGCAGCTTTTGTACACGTCGTGTACAGTCAACGCATATGCCTTTTGGGTTTCTAAAGTTTAGGTACTAACATATTTTCATGCCTTTGGGTTTCTAAAGTTTAGGCATAGAATTTCTATGAATTTCACAAATAATAGATTGCTAAACAACGCTCAATTATTCGTTCAGAACAAATCGGAACTAAAAGAAATCAAATTTTAATTATATACCGAACTGGATCCATTATCAATATGTCGAGCTATCAAGGTAAGTGGAATGATATGATGGTAATATTCTGGCTACTTGACTCTCGGATTCACAATGATGTGACATAATATTTTTTTCGCCCGGCTAAAAGGCTTATTATGTCAACCCTTTTCTTCGAACAGTCTACTTCGGTGTACTAACATTGGGATTTCTTGTAAATACATAGACGATCATGACAATCAGTGTCTGGAAATTGATACCGTTTCTGTGTTTTACGTTTGTGGATTGTCTCCCTTGTTGTCGGTTTGTTTTGATTTTTATTGAAGTCAGCATCACTGTAGAGTGCAGATCACTTCCAACACAACTTGATTGGTCAATTAGCTGAGCTCACGTGATCTGAACACCGTATACAAATAAAATATGTCAGATGTTAATTTATAACCGCATCCATAATTATTTTAATACAACATTAAAACATGAAATGTTATTGAGAATATCAAGAATATATATAATACAGAATACAATAAAGCTGCAATAAATTCTTTCAGTAAAACAAAAAGGTCCGATGCCTGAAGATGATTACAAAACTATACGAGCTAATTACTCCTATCTGGTGAATCATATCAAGGAACCAGGGAAACTTAGCAGAAAATTATATGAAAAAGGCGTATTCGATTCAGAAGAAAATCGCAAAATACAGAAAATATACAGGACGTCTGAATATGGTTGCTGGGAAGCTGCCGACAAGCTACTGATGTACGTCTTATCAAACTGTGGTGATGTCTATGGTAAATTCATCCAATGTTTACGAGAACTAGGTTACAAGAAAATCATAAGTGTATTAGAAAACACCTTGGAGGGTAAGTTTATTTCTATTTTAAACAATAACAATATATATAAAAACATTGACAACTTATAAAAATATAAATACAAACGCACTGGTTCTGTTCTTGTTTGTTTAAATGCATCTGATTTTTGTGAAATATGAGTTATATTACTTCAATGATAAAAGGTCATTACTTAAGAACCACTAACCTATTAGAAGTTTAATTAACATCATGAAAATTACATCATAGAAAATATAAATGATACATCCCCAGTAGATTCTCTTATTTTTACTAAATTAGGCCCGCATACAATATGATGTAGATACTTTGCACCCTTTTTAATAATCACATACTGTATCTGGTCATAGCAAAAAAGAAGAAAATATAAATGATGCATCCCCAGTATATTCTTTACTAAATTAAGCTTGCGTACAATATGATGTAGATACTTTGCGCTCTTTTTAATAATAACACACACTGTATCTTTTGACGTTCTAATAGGAAGCTGACCATTGAGATTTTTTTGTAGCACATAGCCGACCATGACACGCCAATATGATACGTTCCGGAAATATTCCTATTTTTTCTTGGGTTGTTTACATTATTCTTAGTTTGTTTTCATTTTAAGTGAAGCCTATACTGTATAAATAACGATATATTAATTTATAATATAGGCCCGAGACTGTGCAGCCCAGTGGACATATAGGCCTAGCTAGCCCTCGGATCAATTCATTGGAGTTTTCATTCATTTGAAATGTCTATGTATACATATATTAGAGCCACAGTGTCTCAGTGAGTAAGAAGTTGACTCTCTAACCTGGAGTTTATTTGTTCGATCCCTGACATGGCGTGATTCCCTTTTGTCAGTGGTGTAAGACGAAAGGCAAAACAAGGTAAACGTAGACTATAGTTGTTAGGATGGGACGACAAACCGAAGTTCCGTGTATAAGATCCCTTGGCAGTTGGAATTCAAAATAAGATTAGGCCATAGCACCGCTATCCGGGCATAATAGCCCTCATAGCACAATGGGCGAGGTCAAATGTAGGCTAGTGTAAATAATTTGGTAGAGTCTACTCTAGCCTACAAATAACACTAGTGTTACCCGAAACAAATTTAAAGATGGCTTCCGCTTATCCTGCTTCGATCATTTCTTGGCTTATTACTAAAGAATTGACCCCAACAAATATCAGATTTTGTGTGTTTTGTATAAATATTGAAAGACTATAAATATTGAATAATGATATTAAACTTTAGTATAACAACATTTTATCAAAATAAGATAACACTTTATAACTTATTCTTGACCTTGATACCTCGATATCGCATTAACCATTGGGAGTTGAGATTAGGAAAACACTGGAGTGACATTAGTGTTGTGTTCACTTCACCTAAACAGTTAAAAGCCAGGATGATGTTACAAATATGGTTGATGTCACACAATCTGTTTTACAGAGGATTACGAAAGTCTTCTAATATCTCTCTAAAAGATGACTACCTTCAACACGTGACATCTCATCACGCAGCGTCAATCATTGGCTCAATGGCGCGTGCATTGTTTACATAAGACGTTCTAGTTCGGGCAGGAAATAGAGCCATTTACTCATTTTAATACCCATTTACACTAAATAGGAAATACTTTTTACCTACAAATACAGCAAACGTCTTTATTTTTATACGCCCACATTTTCATGTGGACGTATTATCCGTCGCCCCTGTCCGTCCGTCCGTCCACAATTTGTGTGTGGACACTCTAGAGGTCACAATTCTTATCCCATTTTGACGAAACTTGAAATATAGGTTTATCTCCACAAGATCTCGGCTGCTTTCGATATTGGTATGTATCGGATCGGAACTTCATGGATTATGGCAACTGTTTGTACGCAAAATCACGTTTTTAGCTTGTGGACCCTATAGAGGTCACAATTTTTATCCGATTTTGTTGAAACTTGAAATGTAAGTTTATAACCCAAAGATCTTGGTTCCTTTCGATATTCGCACATATCGGACCATAACTTCCTGAATTATGACCCCTGATTGTACGAAAAATCACGTTTTTAGCTTGTGGACCCTATAGAAGTCATAATTTTTATCCGATTTAAAAACCCGTTTTATTATATCACCGTTACACCCTTAGGATGACTGAGTTCGAATTTCGTGATAATCGGCCCAAAATTGACAGACAAAATGGCCGCCGTTCGACGTTCGTTCTCAAATAGCGTAAAAATATGGTATATCAAGGTTGTGGACCTTATAGAGGTCACAATTTTTATCCGATTTTGTTGAAACTTGAAATGTAAGTTTATAACCCAAAGGTCTCGGTTCCTTTCGATATTCTCGCATATCAGACTGTAACTTCCTGAATTATGGTCCCTGATTGTACGAAAAATCGCGTTTTTAGCTTGTGGACCCTATAGAGGTCATAATTTTTATGCGATTTAAAAAATTGTATTATTATATCACTGTTACACCCTAAGGACGACTGAATTCGAATTTCGTGAAAATCAACCCAAAATTGATAGACAATTTTATAACACAGAGATCTTAGTTCCTTTCGATATTCTCGCATATTGAATTGTAATTTCCTGAATTATGGCCCTTGATAGTAGGAAAAATCACTTTCTTGTTAGCTTGTTCTCTATCCATCTCTCAAAAATGTGGGTGTATCCAGCCTGGCAGCCGCTGGTTCTAATACATAAACAAAATGTATTAGAAATTAATTTGTGAAAAAGTTAATATTTTTGACTCATTTAGTCGCACCGATGTCATCCTTATCAGTGATTGTCGTGGCCTAGCGAAAATACACTGCTGATCAGTGTGGTCAAAACAGTGAGTCAGTGTTAAGTTTAGATGTAAAATATTAAGTAATATTAACTGCTTATCTCAGATGCATTATGTAATTTTTCACTAATAATATACTTACATGTAAATAAACAAACCAGTCAGGGAAAATGACCATGAGTTTCAGTTTAAAATTTTATCTATTTTCCACAGTGTAACCTTCTTTCTAACCTGAACATCAAATTAAGGGGATCAGGTTAACTCTTTTACTGGCACAAACTCTAACACTGGCACTAACTGTTTGTTCTGACCCTACATGCCCGTCTTCATTAGCCCAATCAGGGCTGTAAAACAGCAGGACTCTATGTACATTGTGTCCTGTTCCTGGGTTTGTCATGTGTTACTTTGCATATATTATGACATCATACAGGTAAAATTATTTTATTGTTATAGATACATATAACGATAAAACCAATCTGATGACAGAACAAGACAAGACAAGACAAGAAGACTTACATAAAGAATTAGAGAACCTGAAGAAAAAGATTGAAAGATAAGATGGAGATTCCAAACAGATGTTGAAGAAAATCAAAAAGAGAGAACATGAACTAGAAATATACAATAAACAAACTAAAGAGAAAGAAGCTCTGACAAAGAAGAGAATTGATGAGTTGGAGACACGTATTAAAACACGTATGTCTACAATTGGGGAAAATGAAATAAAATGAAATGGGGTTTAACGTCCTACTGTTCTGCTCCTATACTGGAAGACGGGCATACGCCATACAGTGTGCTATGAGGGAAATTTTGCCCGGGCAGCGGGACTATCGCCTAATCGTATATCGAATTCCAACTGCCAGGGGATTTTTTATGTGCATACACGGGACCTCGGTTTTTCGTATCATCCGAAGGACTAGACACCTGTCCTTGTCAGGCCCTCCGTTCTGCACCACTGACAAGGGTAAACCATGTCGGAAAATCTGGATAAACTTTCTCGGCCAATGCAGGGATCGAACACCCGACCTCCAGGCTAGCGAGCCAGCGTCTTAACCACCTAGCCACCGTTGCTCCCCACAATTGGGTGGAAATATGAGTATGTTTACATTAATGATAATCATGTTATATATTAATAAGACGGCAGTGTGAAGTTGAATCGATTTTCGTTATTCGTTATTCACCATTAACGAATAACGAATAACGAGGTACCTCGTTATTCTTTATTCAACTTTCTATTCGGGATTCCAATATGCAGCTAGCCATGACTAGAATGATGGATGCCAAGTATCCCCCAGTAGTATAAAACACAGCAAAACGACCTCTAGACGAAAAACAATCCACATTGTTATTCAAGCAGCGAATAACGAGCTGTTTGTTATTCAAGTGGTGAATAACGATTAACAAGCTGTTTGTTATTCGTTTTCACCTCGTTATTCGGGATTCACTTATAAGGTGTTCATGTATCTTTGATGAAAATATTTCAGGATTTAATTCTAAAAGATCATTAGACAACAATAGAATAATGGATTGCAAAGTATCCCCTAGCAGTAGAAAACATATTAAATGACGTATAGTCGGTAAATAAACCAGATTGTTATTCAAGCGGTGAAAAAAGAAAACGAGCTGTTTGTTATTCGTTTTTACCTCGTTATTCGGGATTCACATAAGGTCTTCATGTATCTTTAATGAAGATATTTCAGGATTTAATTCTTAACGGTCACTAGTCAATAATAGAATAATGGCTTGCAAAGTATCCCATAGCAGTAGAAAACATATTAAATGACGTATAGTTGGTAAATGGACCAGATACACGAAGACCTTATATGTGAATCCCGAATAATGAGGTGAAAAACGAATAACAAACAGCTAGTTATTCGCTATTCACCGCTTGAATAACAATCTGGTTTATTTACCGACTATACGTCATTTAATATGTTTTCTACTGCTAGGGAATACTTTGCAATCCATTATTCTATTGTTGTCTAGTGATCGTTTAGAATTAAATGCTGAATTAGCTCATTAAAGATACATCAACACCTTCATATGCGAATCCCGAATAACGAGGTGAATAACGAATAACAAACAGCTTGTTATTCGTTATTCACCGCTTGAATAACAATCTGGTTTATTTACCCACTATACGTCATTTAATATGTTTTCTACTGCTAGGGGATACTTTACAATGCATTATTCTATTGTTGTCTAATGATCGTTTAGAATTAAATCCTGAAATATCCCGAATAACGAGGTGAAAAACGAATAACAAACAGCTCGTTAATCGTTATTCACCACTTGAATAACGAACAGCTCGTTATTCGCTGCTTAAATAACAAGGCTAGCTGCATATTGGAATCCCGAATAGAAAGTTGAATAACGAATAACGAGGTAGCTTGTAACTCATTATTCGCCAATAACGAGGCAAGTCACCTCGTTATTCGTTATTGGTGAATAATGAATAACGAAAAACGATTCAATTTCACACTGCCTAATAAGACATAAATTTCTAGGACTGTCCATCTCTAAATAAGTGTTTATGATGCCCCCGGACAACTGTTTTCATTTGCGGCGAGGTGGGGTGGGGGCTTGCAGGTGTATGTGTGTGGCGGGGGGGGGGGGATAAAATTGGCGGAAAATGGGTTCATGTTGATTGAAATGATTTTCTTAGAGCTTGATGAAACATCTCTAAATATGTGTATAAGATCCCCATTGTGTGGGAGGGAGCTTGCAGGTGTATGTGTGTGGCGGTGGGTAGCGTGAGTAAAATTGGCGGTAAATGAGTTCATTTTCATTTAAATGATTTTCTTAGAGCTTGATGAAATATACATCTCTAAATATGTGTATAAGATTCCCATTGT